GTCCTCCCCCTGAAGAGGAAGGAGCAACAGAGATGATGTGTGATGAACAACCCCAATTCCTCATCCCCCTGTGCTGCTCCAGGAGAGGAGGTAGAAAATCAGGAATAAAGTTGAGCCCAGGAAGAAGGGAGAGGTGGAGGAAGGTGTTTTATTTTTTTGTTTTATTTCTCATTATCCTACTCTGATTTGATTAGTCATAAATTAAATTCGTTTTCCCCAAGTCCAGTCTAGTTTGCCTGTGATGGTAATTGGTGAGTGATCTCCCTGGCCTTATCTCAGCCTGTGAGCTTTTCTGTACATTTCCTCTGTCCAGCTGAGAAGCCGAGTGATAGAGTGGCTTTGGTGGGCACCTGGCATCCAGTGTCAGTTCACCACAGTCCTTTGCTTCTCTTTTCTGGAGCGTGCTTTCTTCATGAACGCATAAAGTGAGCCAGTTTCAAGAACAGTGGAAATCAGGAGTAGAGTTGTACACAGGAATCCTTTTCTCGCTTGGATCGATGCATCAGGGAAAATGGGAGTCTGAGCAGCATTGCAGTCCTGCGAGTGCAGCAGAAAGAGGAACAGCAGCAGTACTGCAAATAAACATGGTGGATAATGATCTGTAAAGTGATATAGGTTTCCTTCTTGGGATGGTGACTGAGAGCAGAGGTGGAAAACATCGAAAGAAAATTCTAAAAATAGGCTCTGGGGTGAAGTGGCTTTTTCCTCTTCTTAGGGAATTTTGTACAGGACCGATTCTGTATTCAAGCATGGTTGTGGTCCGGAAGGCACCAGGGAGTATAGCCAGCTCACTTATGTTAGAGCTGAATTTGAACTTTATGTTGTACTTTTTGTATTTTCTGATCACATTTGCATGATATGTTAAACTATATAGTTCTTTAAGCAAGCTGAAACTTCACTTCCAGTAATCCCTAAATGTGCACTCTCTAAGCAGAGCATTAGTTCTGCTGCACCACATAAATCTGTATGATTGATGACCGAAGTATAAAGCAGGAGAAAGAAGACACCACTTCTTTGCTTTTGTTGCTTGTGCTGGTGGTTTTGCGATTAAAACTCAGCCTTTTGTTTTTTACTTGATTTAATCCAGTTGGCATTTTCTGTTACTGAGAAGACAATTCCAGTCAATTACTGGAGATTGTTTCCAGATTATATTCCCCTCCTGCTCTTTTTGCTAACTAGATTTTCTAAAGGGCATGTCTGTAACTCAGATAATTTTTGTTCTAGTATAAATCTGTACCAAAAGCATGAAAGCTCAGTGGGAATGGTAATCTTTCTCCTTTTTGTCAATAAGTAGGCGAGTAAGTATGTTGCCTGCTGTGGCATAACATGCTGAGGGAGCCGTATGTGCCAGTAATGGCATCCAGAGTCCTGCACGCTCGCTTGTCCTGTAATGCTAGCAACAAGCATCCTGCAGTCCTCATGCAGGCAAAGCTTCTCAGTGAGGTAAGGAAAGCAAGAGCTAGGCTAGCTGAATATGAGTAGTTTACAGGCTAGTGCAAAAAAGCTCTGAGTAGATTTGGGAGGACAGGCAGAAATGATAAGTATCTGTCTCTCTAAACTGATAAGAGTTTCTGGCATATATAGGAACCAGACCACTTGTTGCATGTCACAGCAGGTCCATTGCTTTCCAGTGTCCCTGAAGAAAAATAGAATTTAACTCTCAGATCGCCTTGCAATCAGTGCTCTCAGCAGAGAAGACAGACTGATCTACCTAGAAACTGGAATGCCAAGGCACAAAAAGAGAAGGAGAAAAGGACCCATGTATTTTTGTACAGAGGTTTAGGCTAAGTACAGAGCCCGTAAAAGCACATCATCCCGAAGAAAAAATGCCTTAATCATCCTAAAGAGCAGTATGGGACCCACTGGCATTGCTCTTCCGGGGAATAAGTGGGGCAAGTCAGAAGCTGATTACTCTAATTTTGTCAGATTCCTACAGCAAGACTATCAGATTCATACTTGAATAGGACTCAGGAAATATGGTCTGGCAGAGTAAAATTAGACCACCACAGAAAATTAACTTGGCCTCAGGTCTCCAGCTGACTTCAAATTAAACAAAAATAAGTTCCTCATCCTTAGACTAAAATTTTTAGACCTAAAAACCCTCATCTCAGTTCATCTCAGAAGAACTCTTCTGTAGCTGTATGAAATAAGTGGGGTGACCATGTAACTATACTAATCAGCAGTTACATATCTGCATCACCAATAATGCCTTTGGAAACAGTTCTCTCCGCAGAGAGGCCAAATTAATCTACCTCCGGTCCTCTGTTTTTGGTGGTTACAGATACCTTGCAGTCTTTGCCTACCAGGAAAAGGGGGACAGAGAGAGTAGAAATGACTTGTCCAATGCCAACAGGATAGCAGGGAATTCAGCCTTCATCTCTGGAGTTCAAGATAGTATCCTTAACACCAGACAGTTCTTTCTCTTTAGACTTTCCAGTTGATAGACTCCCTTTCACTACTTTGAGGATGATCAAACACTGGAAAAGGCTGCCCGGAGAGGCTGTGGAGTCTCCATCCTTAGAGACACTCAAAACCTAACTGGACACAGTCCTGAGCAGCCTGCTGTAGTTGATCCTGCTCTGAGCAGGGCAGGGCCAACTAGATGATTCCTTTCCACCTCATCTGTTCTTTGATTCTGCAATTCATTTCTCTATGATGCCTCAGCAGATCCAGAAAGGGGTGTCTCAAGGGTCTGTCTGGGAGGTCTACTGCTGTTTTACACTCTAGTACCATCAGCCCCACACACAGAAGTAGTTTGGCACACTCAATACTGAACTCAGGATGAGTCTTTTGCAACAGGAACAAGGAAATTTCTAAAGTAAACATGCTGTTATTTGTTAATAGATTGTGCAAGTTCCACTTTCTTGCCACTGAAGTAGTTTGCTTTAAAAAACCAGTGATATCATAAGGTTCTCTTTGTAGATTGGTTGGCTATATTAAGAAACAATAACCTATTCCTTTAAATACTGGGGCCATCATGATGGTCTTTGAAGAGTGGTGATAAGTTCTCTTTGCAGGGGAACCAGTGACCTAAGGAAGCTGAGGCAACAACAATATTAGAAGAAACCAATCGAATACTGAACGTCAAGAAAGAGAAGAAGGTTGATACTGGAAATTACTATCCTGTAAGTCTAACAAACTTCTATCTCATGTAAATTAACCATGAATATATGAAGACTGAGAACACTCTTAACTTCCACATAATAACAGATCCATGAGCAAAAGCAGCATGGATTTATACAGGATAGCTGTCGCCATCGGTAGAATTCTGCTAGCAGACCATGGCAGGAAAACTGTAGTCAATAAAACCGATTTGAATAGTTGTTCAGTACAGTGTTTTATACTGCAACTTACTCACAAATTTAAGTCAGTTAGTCTAGATAATTAAGTCTGTTATGGACTGAACACTGACCATAAACAATGTCCTAAATTATAAAACAGAAATATAGGGCACTGAAGGAATCTTGGTTACATCCAACCTTAGCTTATACCTTCATTTTTTGGTCTATGGTAATAGTCGAGGGCAAGGTACTCAAAATTTCGGAAGATTTTGATACCAGAGAAATTTAAAGGGGAAAAAAATAGGGAATGAAGGTAAAACAGGAGTATGGAGAGAAAAAAGGAGATAAGAGGAAGAACTCCAAACTAATGAGATTTCTCTCCTCTTCTCCTTCTACCCTCCACAAAAGCTAAGAAAAACCAAAAAAACCCCAAAATAATTTAAAAAAACCAAAGCCCAGGATGGGAATAATCCATTTTGTACTTCTGTACTTCTTGTTTTTCAAGGGATGTCTGCTCTTCAGAGAAAGTTAACTGTAGTCGGAGATGACCGCTGTGGTAAGACATGCCTCCTCTTTGCTCTGCGTCATGAACAGCTTCCCAAGTCCTACGAGCCAACCCTATTTGACACTTACACCACTGACACAGAGGTAGATGGGAAGGAGATGAAACTGATTCTCTTTGATGTGGCAGGGAAGAATGAAATCAGTTACCGAAATCTCCGCTCAGTGTTCTACGAGGACACTGATGTTATTTTAATGTGCTTCTCCGTGGACCGGCCTGACTCACAGCAAAACATCCTTGATTTTTGGGTTCCAGAAATCAAACTGTTCTGCCCCACAGTACCTATTATTCTAGTGGCTACCAAGATAGAACTGAGGGATGATGAAGGTATTAAGAAGAAACTAACTGCTCCAAGCAATGAGCCAATTAACACTGCAGAAGGAAAAGCTTTAGCTGCCAGCATTGGGGCATATGCTTACCTGGAGTGTTCTGCCAAGACAAAAGAAGGTGTTGACACAGCCCTGGAAATTATTAGCCAATGTGCATTAAATGAGAAAAGAAGGAGAAAGAGACACTACAGGCACTGCCAAATTTTGTAAGAGGAGTGAACATTATTTTGTTGTTGGATTTCATTATGTGGAAAGGTAAGTAGATGTCTTTGTTGCTGTTGTGTGGGTGCTACAAGGGCTGCTTTTGTGTTATAGGAGGAAAAAAATCCCTTATGTCTGCAAACTGTCACACTTGAAAAGTTGGACTGGTTTCCTTCTGCAGCTCCAGAGCAGGCTGAAGAGCACAATTCCAGATTCAAGCTGAATACTGGTCTTGAGAAATGGAAATGACCAAGCTACATACAGAACTCTCCACAGAGGTTTTTTGGTCAAGGGAGATGGATGCAGACTAGGACAGGAACCTAAACCAGAACTGCTGGGACAAGCACAAGAACATGTTGTTCAGTGAATCTAACCCCAGCTTCCTTGTTGAAAGGCTTAGTGGCAAGCAGCTGTGCTGACATGTTTTCCTAGTATGCACTGCCTTACCTACACTGCCTTGAGTGAAGTGGTGAGGGTGACACCACTTAGAGAAGAAGGGTGTCACCACACACACACCCAATAGCCTGCTGGGCTAATAGCACTGGATTTCTGACCAGAAGAACAGGTCTGACTTTTTCTAGGATTCATTGGTAGAGCTGGCCTGGGCATGGTTCCCTAAATGTGTCAGGAATGTAATGTATAACATAGGGTGCAATGAATGCACCTTTTCTTCAGGCACAGGTAAATAAACTTCTGGGGTAAACCAGCCTGGCTCTGAGGTAGGATAACTGAGTTCTTGATAGAATTCCTACTTTAAAAGGAGAGAAGTAAAAAGACCAGACTTCAGTTTCTAAATCTCTTTGTCCTTATGGTCTGAATGGATCTTAAATCTTTCTGTCTTTCCTTAGCACTTGTAGCAGAAGACATGAAGTAAAAGGAATGCCAACAGCCACGCTCTGAGCTTTGCAAGTCATTAACAATCTGGAAAGAGACTGTCATAATGCTGTCAACCTAAGCAGAAAATCTCACACACAGAGGTGGACCAAAATGGAAAGACTCTGGGTGCATCTCCATACTCCTCCCTTCTCCAAAGCACTGATTGCTGGCAGCCCAAGGAGCTGAGTTACAGACTGACATTAAGGGTGTAAGTCTGGGAGTGGGCAAATAACGTGACTGCAGGATTTGAAGGCACATGCTGTAACCCAGTAAGTGGACAGCAAAAGGCAAGGTAAAGTCCTTGTGATCCTGAAGTAAAGGTACAGGTCTAATTGAGCACAATCGTCATAAACTAGGAGAACCTGGAAGTCTATCACTTTCTTTTGCTGACTTCCTCAGTGGTGGTTTCATCACTGGCAGCTTGGTTATGATTTCCCAAGGGAAAACAAAACGAGAGTAAACACAAATTTCTAAACTGATTATGCCACCTGCAGCTGTACACTTAGAAAACTAGCTTTTCCAGGTGAGAAGCCTAATGAAATATATGCTTAAGATGTTTTTCTTACCCATTCTTCCCACCAGTATTTGTCTATTGATGGGTTGATTTCTGCATGGGCAGAAATACTGAGGCTGGCCAACTATTCATTATTGGATGGGTTGCTGCTTTCCTTCTACATCACTTCAGTAACAGTTTTGAAGTCCACAGTCACACTTTGGTATAATAACAAATGCTTTAAGGATGACACTTTACATTTCCAAAAGTACCTTTCTTCCAAGAATCTCTGAGCACTTTTCAACATGAATTACCAACTCACCTCTTGGTGATAAGTAGGTGTTATTTCCATTTTCAAAATGGAGACACTTAAAACTGCTGCCTAAAGTTTCTGTGAACCATCTACTTCTTGGAGCTTTCTTTTTCTTGATTTGTTTTCCATGCCCTTTCCCTTTTCTCTCCTGGACCATTTTTAACCTCAATTTCCTCTCCTCTCTCCCCTCGATGCAACCTGATATTGTACCCAGACTTTAAAACTGTTCTGCCCATGCAACTTGGATGTGAGCATGTGCTGTGTGCAAGTGCTCTCCTGATGCAGGCAATAACATACATTACTGCATTTCAAAGAGCTGTATTGATGTAGATAGGTTTAAATTGTTATTTCCATTTTGTATGTGTACGTGTGGGAGGGGAGGATTAGACTGTGGATAAGTTAAAGAACACAGGTGTCTCAGGTGCCTCTGATGTGGGGTACTGGATCGGAGAGAGGCAGTTTTGCAAAGATGCCAAGTACTTACTCCTCCCACTACTTGGAAAGTTCAGACCACTTTGGTGAACCTGAGCTGATACTGCCTGCTGCTTAGTAGGACACTGGTCAGCATATTGACTGGTGTCTGTTTTCAATCTGAATAAATCAGTGTTTTACTCCAGAAGGGTGCTTTGTTCAAGATAAGAGTAACTGGTTTCACTCCCAGGATTCACTGTACGTATCTCTGAATTAAACTGTTGTTACACTGATCTTAGTTTCTATTTCTTAACGTTAACCTTTTTATTGTTTTTATGCGAAATAAAAAGTTGACAATCTGTTTCCACTGTGTACTCCTCTGCAACTGGAAAAGAGAAATCTGTGGGAGGTTCTTCATCATCCTTTTGCTAAAGCTGTATAAATTCTCTTTTTGCCACTCAATGCTTTTCCTCTTTTTCTGTCTCAGAGCACTTCTGCAAGTTACTAAAAGGCTCTTCAAGAAATCCACTGGACAATTGTCTGTATTTTAGGGCATCTCTCTCCCATGAGAAATCCCCAGAGTGGATAGTTTCTTTTCTTTGTCTTTTAGGACTGGCCTATGATTCAGAAAGAAGGGGATATAGCCCAGTACTCAGGATATTGGCCTAAGACATCTGTATCTGGGGTTGCTTCTCTATTCCACCCCAAGGTACGGTCTGTAAGACCCTACAGAAGAGACTCTGCACATCCACATTTCAAAGTAGCTGGAAGGAAGCAGTGGCCTCATAGCAGCATGGAGCTCAACGGGTGCTTGTTCATCCTTCCCATGTAAGATCGTGTTTTAGGAGGCTCCACAGCACAGGTACACCTCTGGCTGATGGCAGCCTTCCCGCCCCCAGGCCTGCTGGGATGCTGGTTGTACTCATGCGTGTGAAGAGCTCAGACAGTAGCTGGGGGAGAGCTAGAAAGTCTGTATGAGGCTGATGCTGGGAAAGTGCTACATGCCCATATCTTAAACCTGGAAAAAACAATCAATAGTGATGAATCCATATAGAAGCAAACTGCCAGCAGTCAATGTCCAGGCTAGACCCGAGTCGGAAGTGCTGTCCTCTAATGCAAGTCTTTCTTCCAGTGTGGGAGGGGAGGGGAGAAGAAGAAAAAGAGGAAAAGAAAGGAAAATCACAAATTGTTTTATTAGCCTTATTTTTATTATTATTTTTGTGAATTTAAATAATTAATATGTCTTTTTATAAAGGAAAATAAAAAGCAAAGGAAAGAAGTACTGCAGAAGAGAAGCTGGAAATTAACTGAACGTTCATGCATCATTCCACAGGGCCATTTCTAAGATGAAATGCACTGTTTACTCCTCACCACAGCATTTTAAGACAGATGTCCAATTGAAACAGCAGGGGAATTTATACTATATTAGGTGAATATGATGATGTGTATTGCAATTAAGTAAGAGCTCCTTCACAATTTCAATGAAGCAAATATGTAAATAAATTATATTGATGTCTTTCAGCAGAAATAAAAAGAAAGAAGGAAGGAAGGAAGGAAGGAAGGAAGGAAGGAAGGAAGGAAGGAAGGAAGAAAGAAAGAAAGAAAGAAGAAAAAGAATCAGTGCATAACAACAATAAGGCAATATGTGAGAGTGATTTTCTGTGCAAAGATAATTTATGTATTTCATGCAATAGTGTTGCAGTAGCCTGCATGCCTAAGAATGTTGTCAAGACAAGGTTTGTAGATGAGAGGACTTTGTTGGGAAAAAAACAGACAAGCTGTTGGACACTCATGTCTTCAAACGCCTCTTCTAGATCTCATCTGATAAAGGACCTGACTTCTCCCTATAAAGCTCTACATATTGTGATAAGCCACGAAAGCCGTGACAATCTAGAATATGTTTTATACTGGGATTTAGGCAGAAGCTCTAAGTAAGCTTCAGTGACATCTACAAATGGATACATCAGTAGTGCTTTAGCAAAAACATACCCACACAGCACAGCACAGGGCTTTGGAAAGAAGAGAAGCTTGAAACTAAAAAAAGCCCTATGTGTTATTTCCTTTTCCCTGCCTGTTTCAAGAATGGAGTGGAAAGAGGGGAATGTGTCTTGCTTAGCAAGACCAGTCTCCATTTTGTATTAGTTCCCTGTAAAAATATATCTTCCCAGTGGAAATCTAGCAGTCTACCTACTAATTCGCCTGTTTACTCAAAATTATCATCAGACAGGAAGTATGCCATAGTTTATGAAAATAGAGTCTCCTAGGCTTTTGTCTTGCTTTTGTCTTGCTTTTCTTCATAATATCTAGCCACTTAATCAAATTCCCTTTCTGAAATATACTGCATCTGTTTTAAATAATTCATCAGCTTAGAGTGTATCTCTGCAATCACTCAGAGAATGACAAACTGATACAAGAGCCTGTAATTTGTTATTGTGCTTTGATGGAAATAAGGGGCTGGATCATGGTATTCCTCCACAGCAGCTCGAGTAGTGTATGAAAAAGAATAAGGACTGCAACTTAATTTGCCAAAACTAAATTTTAGGTGCCTCTGAGACCTTGAAAGTCTCTTTTTGTTCAGCATGTACTCTGCTAGTGGACATGTCCATCATTTAAACTACCTCCACACTGCTGATGTGTTCACGTTTCAATCTGCTGAGTTCCCAAATACATGCTTTATGCCAGCTACATCCCATGTCAGGATGAGACAGCTTTTGAGGGGGAATTGTCTCAGCACATCCCTTGGGCTCTGCCTGTTGAGGAGATGGTCTGGCAGAGGAACATCTGATTCATGAATCACACCAATTACTGGTTTCTGGGCTGTTTGATGCCATCTGGAACAACTTTGTCAGCTGAGGTGTGCCTGAACTGAGCAGTGTCGCAAGGTGGATGTGCCCAGGTGCTGGGAGCAGGGCATTT